TGCGCATGTGTCATAGGGGTAGCCTCTTTCTTCATCCTTGCTGCTACCAAGTTTAATGGTCTTGGACTGCTCTTCGAACGCGTAAGCCACATCTTCCAGATCATCTTCGCCACGTTCGCCAAATAATTAAAATGTCACCACCTTCTTGTGTCATATCCTCCTCGAAGCTGCAGGTCTTCCTTGCACGATTGTCATTCTCTGTATGTATGTCGAGCGTATTACTGTTAGCATCAGTAATGTCCCTTTTATCCGCGTTTAAGTCCACAGAATCCACATTAAAAGATCAAAATCCGTTACTGACTCGCTTTCATAGTCAAGTATGATCGACTCGCAGTCTGACGCCATGCTCGCGTTATCGCTGTCAACTTCCATACTGTCATCAGCATCTTCATTGCGTGACAACCAATCCGAGACGACTACATCATATCCTTCGTTATGACGGTCACTGTATACAATATCCTCGTTGATCGAAGCATCTAACACGTGTTGAACCACGTGTTCAGCTGGAAAATAAACTTTAAAGCCTTCTTGTCCTTACTTGTAACCCAAGAGAAACCCAATTCTGCAGTTATCATTCAACTTCACCTTAAATGGTCCAATTGCTTGATGAACGTAAGCGATTGATCCAAACTTCTTGTTTCCATGTAAGATTGGTTTCTTGTTCATCATCATTCTGTAATGTGTGTATTTGATCAATCGACAGTAGGCCCTGTTCCTCAAGTAAATTGCCATCTCAAGAGCATGCATCCGAAACGATTTTGGTAGCCGTGCAGCAGCCATCATTGCCTTATCTGTGTGTATTAGGGTCTGGTGTGCCCTTTCACACAAATTTAAGTGTGATCCATGAGGTGGGTTTGGTAAGAACTCAATTCCAAGAGTTCTGTACCATGTTGTCATCTCCACGTTCACAAATTCCCCGCCGCTGTCGGAGATCACTTTCTTGACTTTACAGTCGGGAAATTGTCGCTCTTTCCAAGAGATGTGCCGCTTAATCACTTCGTTAACTTCCGATGCATTCCTCGAGTGGAGTGGGTAAACTGTGGTATAACATGAATATTTATCCACTTTAGCAAGTACCGCTTTGTATGATTTTGGACTTGAGCAGTACTTTGGGAAAAGTAAATATAAGAACATAACCTGATTCTTCATTGTGATATCTCGCATTAGTTTTTCAGACGCGTCTTCTGTCTGTCTTTATAATGTGGCTTGCTTCACAGTTATCACATTATTTTGTGCTTAGTGACATTCCATCCACTAGCTTGCGATCTGCCATAATCTTCACGTGCTGAGGGTTCAGATGACCAAGCCTTTCGTGCCAACGCTGGATATCAGCGTGCCCTTCTGCACGCGTATGATTCACTTGATGTAGGAGGCCCTTATCTTGGCGTAGCGTCTCATCTGCGGCACTTATCGTTGGGTGAAAAGGGTTCATTGTTTGAAAGGTATAGACACCACATTCGTCTCTGTTAATTTTCAAAAGCTTTTTACCTTTTTGCAAAAGTTCAAAGACCTTTTTACCCGTTCGGCTACACTACGTCACTGTGATCCCTTGGTCCTCGGTTTGCGTATGCGAGATCACATTCATACTGTCAGGAACATATAACACGTCATAAAGAGTTATTTCGTTGATATTGGACCCATTTTAAACAATTATCTAAACAGATCCTTGGCCTATCGTCTTGATCGTAAATCGTTTATGAAATCCTCGCACACTGTGAACTTGTGTATCGTGGTCAAATGCTCCATATTTAATGAAGCACCGCAAATTGGAAGCCACGTGCACATTTGAAGCATTGTCAAGACACCATTGTCGGTGAGCACAGTCATTGGTTATGCTTTTACTCACGGAAGCATCGGATCCTGGCGGTTGCTCGATATTTGACTTCACGGCATTTATCTTCTCTTGATGCCCGTCACGAGACTCATTCTTTGGATGCTTTGCGAACGCCACCTTCTGGTCACTTGCTCCTGGTTTCCTCATCACTGGATAGTCTCTCATGCGGTGTCCGGGCTTGTGACAATTGAAGGAGGTTCCATGCTGCTTATCTGTCATTACGGAAGTCCTCTGGGGGATTTCATCGATCACATTTAGTCCTTTACCACCGATTTGTGATCGTGAACTGCTAAAAGCAAGCCCTTTCCTGGACAAATGACTGCCTTCATAATCCTGGGCATTTCAAATGATACCATGAGTGCCAAGCTCCCGATCACGCTTGTTAAAACTACATGTTCGCAATATCTGATCTTTTGGTTTTTCTGGAGTTTCAACCTTGTCGTCGCCGCTCTCACCCATGCCTCTCAGTCGATCGAAACGCGCATTCGCCGGTAACGACCAAAGTAAGATCTGTGTGAAAATCGGGTCCCGTACACTTGCGTTCACAGCAGTCAATTGATCCCTAATCATAAACGTGTTTTCCATGTGCTGCGCGACATCCTGATTAAATTTGCACTTCATTGCGTTTGTCTTGTTGTAGAGTACAATCTTTGGTTTGTTCTCGTTGCCTCATTGGTCTTTCCCTCGTTAAAGTCCTCCAATTATTTCCACATTTCGGTCCCAGTTGCTTATGTCATCTCTCGCTGGCCCATTTTCATCGAAAGAGAAGCAAGAATTATTTGCTTAATCGTTACTTGAGCTTCTCGAATTGCTTTCACTTCATTTAAACTTGCGTTGAATGCGAGAACCTTGTCCCCAGTAGTATGTTTCAACACAATTTTCTTCTCAAAAGTCAGTTTCATCATTCCCTTAAAGTAAGCCCAGGGCTGGCCATTCCAACCCACAAGTCTTCCATATTTGTTCAGCTCCACCTTGTTAGACATGTTGTCTGTCACAATGCGCAGGTAAAGTTCCCGCCTTTTTACTTCCTTCACAGGCCGACTTAACGTTTTAACGTTCGTGCTCGCAGACAAACGGAGTCTTTCTTCGCACACACACTCACAATCGATGCTTGTAAATGCGTTACAGTTTCTTGGATACGCTTAAGTCTCGTTCAGACTTGGGCTCATAGATCTGTTGCAATCTCTCTAGCGCTGAGCTTTTAGCTAGTTCTGGGTTCCTGATAACACCAGATGTATACACCTTGACACACAATGATATATATTACTTAGCTTAGCTCTTTCTGGATAAAGACGACTTGCCCGGCACTTTGCACTTTTTGACTGAGCTATTCCTGCACGCGGTTGCAGCTAACATGCTAACCGTTACCTTCGTCTGTCGACTCGTCCCATTCTGATATCCGTCGTCTCCCTTTTCCCTTGTTTCAACCGACGGACGGTAAACGTACTTTAGACGTTCCAACGGCTTCAAGCTGGAAACATATTACAACACTGTAATCTACGCAGAGGAGGGAAAAGCAACTAGAAATTTATCGAGTTGTTGTCAAAAGTTAGATTGTACTATCTGTAATGAATTCCTAATATTACCCTGTTTTAGTCCTAGCTTAATTGACTTTATGTACAAAAATGTAGGCTTAAGTATTTTTCACCACTCTTTGCGCGCGTCCGTCGTTGATCGGACCGCTATAGCTGGCTGATATAATGAACCATATCAGCCAATCGGTGAGTGCTTCTAAATGATACCCCTCATGGTATTCACGAGCATCTTCAATCTTTATGATCATGCGTATTAATTAACAAGTATCAAAGTTGATTACAGGTAACAGGCTCACCCCGATACAGCATTCGTTTGGTCTTTCAAATCGCATTTTGATCCATGTATCTAGGAGTGTGATAATTTGTTGTGACTAAATGTGTTTATCTATGCAAGAGATTGTTACGGCAGATTGTCTAACTTGATCCGGATAAACTATGCGAAGACTAGCGGAAAGGACCGAATGTAACGGGATTACACGTGGTTTTTGAGCCGGTTATGTTGTGTGTCCACATAAGTAAATACCGGTGGAAGTGAGTGATGCAGTCTTGGTACCACGTACTTACGGTAATACCGCACCTTATCGGGTAGGAATAAGGGATATGACTTCTGTCATAGGATCGCAATGTAGAAGTCAGTCAGATGAGGTTTTATGGTTTAGTACCGTGGTTCTAAAATAAATAAAGTTGAGTTCTCCTTTTGAATCGTTGCACACTAGTGCCTAGTCAAGGCGTAGTGTGTTGTAAGAGCGTAAGCCTTGTGAAGGCGCTTACTCTTGTTTAACTAGTAGTGACTAGTTAGTGTGTGATTCTGTGAATCACAATCTCTTTGGAACCGAGATTGTTAAGCTTGTACGCTTGAACGAATGCACGTCGTCCTTAGTTTGTTATAACTAGGAGACTCTTTGAGTCTAAGATTCCTTCTGCTAAGGAGCGCTGAGTAGCTCTGCTACACCAGATACATTCAATCTGCTAAAAGAGTGCTATCTTTGCATTTTGTCGGCCTGAAAGGACTATATCCTGCTTCTTCTATCGCACATATAGTGAGATTTGTGCTTGCTTAACATGGTCGCCACAATGGCGAGGAGCGATATCATGAAACGACTTTTTCAACCGGACAGAGACTGGTCCTGATGAATCCGTGGTACAGATAGCTCACAGTTAAAGGGACTACGGTTAAAGGACCAACACAGTTTTAGAACCGCATTTTACTGGACAAAAAACACAAACAAAATTTTAAGCATATTTTTTATTATCGCAAAGCAGATAAACAAAAGAACGTAGTGACGCCCGCCAATCGTCCCATTCTCCCACGCAAGTACAATTCGCAATTTCCGACCACCTCCGCAGAAAAACACGATGTACGAATGGCGCCCCGAAAGCACCTTTCCTTCATCCAGAAGAGAGTTCTACAGACACACCAGCGAGAGAACCCTGGACTCACGCAAGCCGATCTCTGTTGATGGGCGCTGGGAGAGTTTGGAGTCCGTGTTACACGGTCTACGATCAGCAGGATTCTGAGCGAGGACATTCCTGTCACCCTTAATCAGAGAGCCAAACGGCAGCAGAAGGGCAGACCTGTCGAGGTGGAGAAAGCGCTGTTCCATTTCGTGCTCGACATCTAAAGTAAAGTCATGTTGACCGACTTCATCTTCCACCAGATGGCTAATCAAGTGTTCGAGGACGCAGGTGTAACGACGACGCTCTCGCTTTCGTGGGTGTCGAGGTTCAAAGCCCGACACGGCATCAAGTCTTACAGACTGCATGGCGAGGCGGCCTCAGTCGAGCTAAAGACCTTTCACCAGCGGCGCCAAGAACTCCGGACCCTTCTCGACGGCTACGCGGCGTGCGATGTTCTCAAAATGGATGAAATCGGTATATGATATCATATGATACCTTCGCAAGATCTCGAAACGATGCCTTTGAGTGGCAAGAAGAAAGTTGAGTCGCGCATTTCGATAGGGCTATGCTCCAATATGGATGGGAATGAGAAATTGGACCCTATCGTGATCAACAAGTCCCTCAACCCCCGTTGCTTTGCAGCTATCGACGTTTCCAAGCTACCCGTGTACTTCCATGCAAATGCAAATTCATGGACTACCGGCGGCATCTTTGCAATTTGGTTGAAAGCGATTAATCTCAAAATGAGTGGGCAAAAAGTTCTTCTGCTGCTCGACAACGCGACATCACATGTCAATTTGAAGCTCTCAAACGTACACATTCACTTCCTTTCGCCAAATACCACCTCCCATTTGCAGCCGATGGACGCGGGCATCATTCGCAACTTCAAGCTCAAGTACAAGGCCCAATTCGTGCAGTGGCTACTGGACATGGTGACGGCAGGGACGGAGGAAAAGAAGCTCGACGTTCTTAGCGCAATCCGTATAGTGGTAAAATCGTGGGCTGAGGTGCGCCCTGAAACAATTTGAAACTGTTGGATCCACACAGAAACTGTGTCGGGAGTGATGGCGGCAGTGCTCCGAAGGCGAGACGAGCCGTTCTGTCCCAATGATATCTCAATCCTGGCTGATCTAATCGACAAACTATCCTTATCTGATGGAATGGATACAGACGACTATCTATAGTGTGACAACAACCTGGAAGAATGGGAACCAGATTCCGATGCAGCTGCCACCTCTGAGCCATTTTTGCGTGATGACGACAGCGACGGAGACGAAAATTCCATCTTCACTCGTCGCGACGCGCTGTATGCTGCAATACATTTGTCTACGTACCCATTCGCATACAAGATCGATATTGCACACAAGATTGAGATTTTGAGGATGCAGCTGCTGACCGAGAAATGCCGCAAACAGCTTCAACAGAGCACGCACCAGCAGCAACTCACCGATTATTTCTCGAAAGAGCAAGCTCGGTGGCCCATACTAAAACTAACAGCACTTACTTAATAGCACGCAAAAACGGAACTGATATTTAAAATGTTAAATCACTTAAATTTCTACTTGTTTCTAAATATCTTACTTTCCTAGAAACTAATTCCAAATATCCAATTCCTCTAAAATATTTCTAAAAAAATTATTTAATAATTTTTTAACAGAAACGAAGTGGTGTCCTTTAAGTTTATTTAGATCTTATGGACACAGCGAAATTTTATGGACAAATCGCGCTCTTTAACTGCGAGTTATCTGTAGCAGCATGGGCAATTTTTTGTGGGATTCTTATCAGCAAATAGGATATTCTGCACATCCACATAAGTACGCGCCAAAATTTACGTACTTAAGCCGGATTATATTACCGCCCGTTTAATACAAATTTATTGTGCGTCAACTTTCTGTGATCTCGCTTGGTGACTTTGAAAGATTTTCTTTTCGGACGAGTCAATCAGTACCGTGTAAGCAGCGTCGACCGTGCGTAATTTGATGAATGATATGAGTTTGTTAGTGAGCTCGCGCGGAGTTGTTGCGACCGCGTCGAGCAATACCTGGACATCGTGCAAACCGACGTCACTTTTCGACTGAAGAACATCGCGACTGACCATTTTGAAAAAAAGTGCTGATGCTGGCAACCAAACACCATCTGCAATCGCCTTGCTGATGACAGGCGGTCGTATTAACTCACACGTCAACATCCCGTCGGATCACTTTACAGCCCGGGTAATGCTGACAGAAAGAGCGAGAGGTTGCCAACTGGAAAGAAAGCCACGCGTGAGAACGACGACGGAAGTATGCGAGATCACTCAGCAACCTTACTTCTCAATTTCGTTTCGATCGTCTTATTCATCTTCGCTCGATCAGCTTTTTATCGATGCACTCGCTTACCGTCACCCCGCTACAACTTCTACGCACTCCGTGTATTGTGTACCAAATCATTCGTAAAAGAAAACTCTCTGATTGCTATTGCATTACTTCTGCTTGATCGAAGTCGCATCATCAAGATGCAAACAGAATTCCAGCGACTTTTTTTGCACGATACTAAAGATGCTTTCGGGGAGGACCTGGAAATAGCGTTTCAGCTTCAAATCTCAATCAGTTGCAACATCCTAGCACGTGGCTTCGTCGCAGAGGAATACGAGCCCAGTGGTGTGTACGTGCACAGCGATGCCAGCTCCTTGAACTTGGCCTCGACCGTTCATGACATGCCAACGGTCAAGCTTATTCACAGATCCCGCCGATCACTGATTCCTTTTGCACGTTCGAGGCAAATCATAGATCTCCAAATTGCAAAGAATTTATTGCGCAAGTTGCCCATCATATTCTCTAGTCTTGCGGTGGCGCGCCACATTTCGTTTCCACTGCAGTACTAAATAACTATCTGCGTCTCCTTTGTAAGCGGCAGTTTTCCGGGATACCCAAAGGACCTGGCAAATGTCCTTGTGAGCGGAATAATCGCGACCGAAGGCAGCCCCGAGAAGCTTACGAAACGCTTGAAGTTGCAGGTGACTCACACTTTCTTGTCACGAGCTTATTGCAGGTGGGGGATTTGCTGATGCACCCGACAATTTTCTACCGTGTCTGAGACGATGCCCGTTGACCCCACGAGTGTCGTCAATGTTTCAACACGAAGCATAAGGACACTGCTTTCGCTTGCTGCAAGAAGAAACTAAGCACGAAGCAAACGAATACCTAGAAATGTGTGGATAGTGCTTAGCCATTAGGCGTTGTTCTTGCCGTGGCGAAGGCGTTTTCAGCTGAGAGGGGCGAGTCATTCGATGACCACAGTTTCATGGGCGTAGAAACGGGCAGTTGAACCTGGTCAGCGGTAGACTCGCGTGGTATGTTGAACGACGCGCCGTGGTTCAAGTTGCCACTTTTATCCGCCCGACCATCCCCACTGGCGGACTCGTTTCCGAATGACGTAGCATCAACCAGCACGATGCAGGGGGCGAAAGCTCCTGGATAAAGTGTAATTGTTCTCCACCTAGCTGCTGTCACGGGAATGTTCTTATGATCGTCACTGACTCGCGCTTACTATGCTGGTAATACCAAAAAAAACATGTCTGGTTTGCTTTTCCATCTGTGGACAGCGATTGTGGTATTGCAGGTATTTTTATGAGCGTAACAGTCGTTTGTGAAAAAAAAAGCAAGCTTAAGATTTAAATAAAGAGGTTTGTACGAACCTGCATAGAAACGTTATGTTAATAAGTACGATAACGCATGGCCTTATCCCGTCAACGGTTTCGCGCAATAGACGCGACAGTCAAAGTGCTTTCTAAACATCGTCCTCATTTCTCATATTGCTCGCTCTGCCACGAACCAATCAACCAACTAAAAACCAGCAAGCAAGCAATTGACTCCACCAAAACAACAGACAAAGCAGTCATTACTTACTCCCCCATTCTACAACCAAACAACGCCATGTGCGACGTGCTTCAACTACAACCCGCAGGCGCCTTCCTCCGAGCGGCCCGGAGCTTCCAGACCTCGGATGCCGAGCACCGATTTTCGAACCCTATTGCCGTGGTCGGCAGTTGCACGGACATTGACGTCGCTCTGCGTCTCGATCTCGACTATGATGACGCGAAGACGGAACCGTCCAAAGCCTGTTGCTTGGAGTTGCAGAGCCAGCTCGATGACGAGCCTCTGGACTTTCTTACGACTATTCGTCGTGGACTCGAAGACTTGGCCGTCGAGGTCTCGGACGACGAGTGCAACGATGACGACGACGAAGACGAAGCCTCGTCTTACTACCAAGCCAGTACGGAGAACACGTACTACAGTCCAAACCAGAAACATCCATTTTGTAGCGGTCTGATGGACGACGCAGCCGACTTGTCCGACACGTCCACGGCTTCTTCGTCACTACTTACTGCGTGGGCATTACAAGAGTCGGAGGACGAAGAGAACGACGATTCGGAGGACGAAGGCGGCAGAGACGACCTTATTTTCCGACTCGAGATGTAAAGGCGTGTTGCTACGACTCTTTTCGTGTAGTGTATAGTAATAAGTTATTAATGAAAAGAAAAGTTACAAATGTAAAAATTGGCAGTAATTCTTCTCCAAGTCGACGAGGGAGTCCTACCCTGATCGAGAGTGGTACGACATGGTATCCATCGAGTCGTACCAAAAGTGATAAAATCTGAGATTCTTTTTTCAGCAGCTACCCCACCTCAGACTGAAGTCGCACGTCTTTCGGTACATCTTCCGTTCAGTATGGGAGAACGCGTGCGAGCCATCCATCATGAAAGTATCACGTAATGGTCACTAGCAATCAGGTGTTTCTGTCTGTCTGTCGACGATATCTCGTTCGTGTTTATATGTTCTTCTCTCCTTCCTTCCTACATCCGAACGTGCGAGGTTCAAACGTCCACCCGAGCATCGTCAATACCCAAGATAGACCTTTTGTTTCAAATAGCGCTAGTAGCTGCAATCTCGCAATCAGATCGCGATAGATCGTCATTCTCGTGCAATACGGCACCTTCCTGGATAACCTGTTCGCCATCCCCACTGCGGTATTCGTTTCGGCTCTCGGACTCACCAACCGTGAACGATACAAAAGAGGTGTTGGCACTGGCGATTCGCGTGGCATTGTTGACAACCCATCCGACATTCTCGTCCTGAGCTGTACACTGTTGACGTAGACTCTCAATCAGTCGATCGGCACTGTGTTTGAAGCTCATGCCGTTGCCCATGAAATGGTATAGTTCATTGCGCGCGAGCGAGTAGCGCTTGTCAAGCCCTGGATCCAAATCGTTCAGTACAATTGGGAAAATTGGACGCCCCTTGTCTTCTGCAAACGCCAGCTGATCGCGCACAAGCTCGCTGCCCATTGTCTGCTTTGACAAAATAACAAGAAAACACGTACAACGGAGAATCGCTTCTCGAGTTGCATGGATCCGGTCTTCAAAGTCCTGACCCTCGACATTGCGATCGCCATAGCACACAACACCAGCATCCTGCAGTTCAGAGTACAGCTGCTGGACAAACCCTGAGTGCTTGTCTCCATGCGAGAGAAAGACAAACTGCTTTTGCACAAAACTAGCGTCGGGATCCCATCGCTGAAAAAGTCGAGAAAACCCGCCAGGACCGGAAGCTGCAATCATCGTTCCCATCGAAGTTTGTTTAAGACCGTGGTTTCGACGACTGCTCGCGACATTCTTTCGCTGGACAGCATCCCGGTTCTTTTCGATCTCATCACGCAGACCATCAAGCAGTAAGCGAAACTGTGACTGAAACTTGGCCTGGTCGTAGTCATACTCGATCTGCCGCGTGTCCGTGCTATTCCGTCGAGTCTGAGTGATGGCAGGCTCGAACGGAATGATCTGTCGGGTATACAAATACACCTGCAGATCTTCACCAATGCAGACACCTTCACTGGACACGGCCAATATCGGGGTACCAACTTGCTTCGCCAAAGCAAGTTCCTTCAAACACCACTCAGACTGAGCATAGTCCTCTGTCAAAAGACACAAGACGACAGCAGCATTTGTGATGCCCCGTGCAATCTCTTCACGCCAGACAGAACCACCTCCAATACCACTCGGATCCATCAAATCAAGCCAAGTTGTCACGTTTGCGTCTTCCAGTGCTTTACGGATCTTCTTGGCAAATTCTGCATGCGAATGCGTATAACTGATCATCACATCTCGCTGTCCAGCAGCTTGTTTGATTTCAAACAACAATCGCGTGGACGTGGTGCAATCCAGTGGTCGTAGACCTTCAATATTCATCTTCATGAGATTGCCGCCATTAGCCAGGATGGCAAGTGCCGACTGCTCGTTATCTTTTCGGACAGCTACGTGCAGTGCCGTATCGCCTGAAGTCGGCAGTTGGTAATTAATATCGGCACCTGCAGACGTTAGAATGCCAAACAACTCGCGGGTGGCATCCAGACCATTCGCAGCACACATCAGAGGAGTCATGTAATCCAAGTCGACCAGCTTGGGATCTGCTCCAGCTTTAAGCAATGAGCGGACCACACCTGTTTTGTTCAAACGTGCTGCCCAATGCAGCGGTGATCGGCCACGAGCATCTTGAAAGTTCGAGTCAGCACCTGCTTCAAGCAACAGATCGACGGCCTCCAAAGCACCACTTACAGCTGCCCAATGCAACGGCGTACGTCGATTCAGCCCGACGTAGCCCATTTCTCCCAGACAATCCACGTCCGTCTTTTTCCGCAAAAATTTTCGTACGGCCAACACATCGTTTCGTCCCGCAGCAGAGTGAAAAGGAGTGAGTGCTACATCACCACCCCATTCTTCGAGTTCTTGGGCTACCGCATAGTTACCCCGCAAGTATGCGAGTTGTAATGCTGTCAACGTGTTCATGTGACCTGGATCAGGAATGACCAAAGGGTCAGCGCCATGCACCAGTAATGCACGGACAACATCAGGATGTTCAGCCAAGAAAAGTGGGGGCACTCGATCGGAACGGTATGACGATCGGGCTAGTGTACGAGCTGATACTCCACGCGAAAGCAGCCATCGAACAGCTTCCAACTGACCCGTGGACACGGCACAATGCAGTGGCGTCACGAGCGTTGTCCGAAAAATCGATGCAGCGGATTCTTCATCACTGCCACCTCCATCAATGCCCGGACGGGACACGAATAAACGAGCAAGGTACCAGAAGAGATCTCCAGTGGAGAATCGTACACGATTGAACTTGTCCATCGCTCCAACATCAAACCCTCTGGACTCTAGAAGCTGCAACGCCCGAATGTTACCATGGTAAGCTGCAACGTGCACCGGATTCTTTCGAGATTTTGCGAAGAAGCCAAAGAAGAGAGAGACTGCACCATAGCTCTTGCGAGGAAACCCTTGAGCTTCACTAGTCAAACCTGCTGCTTCAGCGTAGTCGAGAATGTCACGCATTTCACGCAAATCACCTTGACGAGTAGCTTTGTACAGTCGTTTCCGCACAACTGCTAGAGCTTTGTCCGACTGGTTCATAAGTTGATCAACGCCTGGATCCATTACATGATTGCGTACGTCACCAGTCTGATCACTCTCTTGAAAAGCCCCAAGAAGCATCTTCACATGCTCTCGAAAGCGTGCAAAGTACTGAAGCTCAGTAAAGATCCATCCAAAGCACACAATGCTGACAAGCTCAAAGAGCTGCACTGCATGCACATCACACGTGAAGACGCCGCCTTTGAAAAACATGTAGAGGAAAAACATCACCACGAACGCTTGAAAGAGCAGCAATAACACGGCAACCAGTTCGCAGAATTGAAACACTAGTCGCCGCTTGATCTTGGTCAAATTCCCATCACCCTCTTCGTCGTCATCGAGATCCATTCCCCCATGTCCTGTTTCAAGCTCCGCTTTACCCATTGTGGCTCGAGATGCAAACGTTGCAGTAGCAGCAAGCGGTTCCTCCTCTCGCTTGAACGGTTCAAACAGTCGCCATCCTGACCCTGGCAAACACAGCAAAATCACGGCCGGCAGCGTGTGATAAATCAAAGCCGAGAACCCCACGACGTTCTCACAACTCGATGCTTGAAACGTGTAAACCAACCGTGGGGACTCCAGCATAAAGCCATAGGCTGATGGTGCCGACGCTTTGTTAAGCACGAGCCAATGTGGTTTGTAGAAGTAGTAAACGCCTAGTCCAGCTGCTAGAACACAAGCCAACGGCACGCCCGAGTGCAATAACCGTCGAGCAAAGAACGAATTGTGTCGAAAGCGGGCGTTGAGCCAGTGACGAGGGACACGAGGGACAGTGCCTTTCAAGGTGTCAGTAGCATAAGCCGATTTGTAGAACGACCGCTTCTTGCTCCGTCTTCGGAGCTGGCCAGGGCCAACGGTTTGATGAAGCGACAAGTGTGAGCTGACACTGAGACGGGGAATATTGCTCGCTGCGAGAGGCATCATGGGAATCCGATGCACGTCCTCCTGCTCGACTTCATCATCGTGGACTTGTCCACCGTGACCAATTGTACCACGTGAATACGTACCAGTGGACGGCCGTCTGTCGTTCGCTTCAGTTTGGACGGTCGTTGACTCGGAGGGTAGCGGTGGTGGTGGTGGCTGTGGTGGAAACCCACTTCGGGCCATCTTGTCGCTTTTCAACGGAGTGGCCATGCTGTCGTACATGAATTGCACTGGATTAAACTATGGCGCAAGTCTTACGTGGCAGAAGTGGGGTGAGATTCGATTTCTGACGTAATGAAGTGTCCCCAACTGTGAAAGTCTCGCACTTCGATGACTGCACTGGTGGCAAGCGGGACAAGGGCTCGATTCTACGCACTGACGAGCAGCTCTTTTCGCCTGTTTGTATGGCTTGTGTGCCTGTCGTTCTGTCTGCTTTGAACACTTGTTCTTTGTATGGATCGAGCGAAGAGCGAGTAAGAAAGTCTCACATAATTACAAACGTTCGATTTATTGAGGCAGGTGAACCTGCTGCTCGAATTAACAAAGTCGTCAGTCGGACTGGACGGACGACAACCGAGAGAGCAGCTGCATAGTCCAGAGTCGATATTTTTAGTTCCGACAGACGATTTTTTTCTTTTGTCACTTGTTGTAGTCTTTTGTCGAAAGTTAATAGAGCTGGTGCATTTCGCGATACTTGCCGGCACTCGCCAGTATGCCGTACCTCATCTTTCGCACGCCAGGGGTCCGCATGGCAGGACAAACGTCCGACAGATCGATGCGGATGATTGCTAGAAATCTGTTGGATGCGTAAGTCAGCGGCTGTCCGTCCATTCTTGCTTGTAAGTGACGTGTACTACCTGCTGTCAACAGTGGCTGTGGTGTATTAGGTGCCACAATGAGGCGTCAACTGAGCCTGTCGACAATCCTAGTTTGAAGTCTAATGGATTTGCAGTGCCTTGTGCATCTCCCTACTTGATCTCGTACGGATCATCATAACTTCCTTTTGTTTCGAGCTGCGCCGTGAGTAACGTAGCTCTGGATGGACAAACACTGAATTGATTTTTGCTTGTTGTCCGATCCGAAGAAGCGCTATTGGCAAGAGGGGGAAGGTGGCACTGTTCGTGGAATAACAGCAGCCAATGCATCGGTCGCACTTGGCATGTCGTGTGGGATATCCTACAGGTTCACAAACAACAGGGTACAGGGACGCCTAATGGCGGGTCTTCCGTGTTTCGACGCGACCTGTAACGGGGTTGCACGAAATCATGGTACTTTGTACCAGAGGTGTTACACACCTGAGGGTTCGCTTTTGTGAAGGTGATATAGAATATCTTATCGGTTTGTAGGGGCTGACGAGTGTCAGCCATTAGATACGAAAGATCTTTGAGTAGGATTAAGATATTCTATAGGCTTTAACAAAAATAAAATCAGTTCCCATTTTGATCTGAAAGACACGTGGCTTGCGAGCCGTCTTGATCGTTGATCTCTGATCACTGAGAGTTAGCGACACCTCCTTGAGGTAGCTACTCTTGAGCACTAAGTGCTGTCGATTCACTGAATCGTTAGGTCCCCTGGAACAGGGATCTGAAGCTATAAAGCTTGTTGACTCGTAAAGTCGTTAGTTCTTTAGAACTAAGTTGCTCGTAGAGCGTTAAGTCTTCCTCTGACTTAAGGAGCTGTGTAGCTCCGCTACACTTGGTAGCACTTGTAGTCAATCTACGCCTGAGTCTTTAAGACTGATCCTCTGTGAGGATGGAAAACCCCACTCCCCTATCTGAGGCCCAAAAGGTCGCGCTTGATAAGCTGACCGCATCTTTGGGTCCAGAGTACGTGGAGTTCCTTGTTTCACAAGGTCATGAAGTGCTTAATGCACGTGTTGAAAGCTTCATGCAGTATGAAGCGACCCTTTTAGGGCAGGTCCAAGACCAAATAGCGTCGGCTATGCCTACACGCTACGTGTCTGTACCAGACGAAGAGGCTAAGCCTCGTCCACTTAGAGTGGAAGTGAAAAAATACTCCGGTAAGGAAGGTGAGAACCTCATCCTCTGGATCCGTGAGATCGAGATGGCCATGAGATCAGGCCTGATCACGCTTGACCATCAACAGGTCTCGCTGGCTATCTCGAAGCTCGATGGTAGAGCTAGAGAATGGGCCTTGACGTGTAGCACGTGGGTGGACATAGCGTTTCCCACATGGGAGTCGCTCAAGTTACAATTGGTACAGGTGTTTTCTCCACCTAACCAGGCTTACCGCGTGCGCTCACGCTTTCTTTCTACCCGCCAGGGTAAGAATGAATTATCGGACTATGTCCAAGAGCTGCGAACGCTCATGGCTGCAATGCAGTCTGACCCTTTGTCTGAAGCAGTCCATGTGACTATCTTCATGGAAGGTCTACGTACTGGCATTGCCAGAACCGAAGTTTTTCGGGTTCACCCCTCTACGTTTGAAGAGGCTGTGAGAATTGCTCTTAATGCTGAGCATAACTTCAAGTCGGCCAGACTTGGTTGGAACGGATACAATCCTCGCTCTGTGAGAGCAAACTATTCGGGTACCACTGCCTATAATAGGCCGGAACCGATGGATCTCAGCTATGCTGAAGGTGGAGGTGAAGCTGAGCTTCAAGCTGCTGAGCAGCAACACGTCGTACGACGATGTTTTACGTGCGGAAGCACTAAACACTTGCGGCCTGGTTACCCTTTGCGAAAGCAACGCCAGGCTACGAGCCAACACTCGAGCCCGAGTCAGAAGTCTGGCATGGCACGGGGAAATGCCGACACCCAGTAGGCGCGGGGCGCCCTACTGGGGAAGAACTAGGTTCTGTTACACCTTTAGAAGGTAAAGGAATGCAGGGCTTAGCCCCAAAGAGTACCATACCTACGGGTATGGTGCGTGGATACAAGTCTGGCTTGTCGGTCGCCGAGGCGAAAATTAAGGGCTTTGAGAAGCCTTGGTCGATATTGATCGATTCTGGGGCGTCTTGCAATTATGCTCGACGCCGTTCCCTTGAGGGAAGTCAGCGTTATGCTGAGGCGCTTACAGCGCATGAGGGTGATTCTATCACGGTTCGTTTAGCGACTGGAAGTCGCGTAACGGTGCATAAAGTTCATTGAACTTAGGTATAAAGTTTTTAGACTTTGACAGTATTGAGCGCTGTCTTGTCCTAGATTTGGACTCGAGATATGATCTCATCCTAGGTATGGCTTGGCTTGAGCGCCATGAGCCATGGATTGATTGGAGGTCTAAGACCTTAGGCGCTACGCGCAATGTTCCTAGAGAAGCTTTGGAGAGTCATGAACCCACCTTTGCTAGGCAGCAGAAGCGCTATTGGCGCGAGCCTTTGACAGAAGATGTCAATGTGCTGGATATTGGAATGTCCGAGTTATCTAACTCCAATGTTAAAAACATAAGTTTTGAGCCTAGCTCGTCTAGAACTAGTGAAACGGCACGTTCTCCGTTGAGTGGTACTCGTTGTGATAACGAGTCACTGCATGCTGAAAGCATGGTTGGCCTAGGGCCGAGTGATCAAGGACGTGATTCCTTTGATGTGTGTATGGTGGCACGTGAAATTACACCGAGTGCGGTCGGCCGTGAGAGCACCGCACTGAATGTCGGTAATGGCGTTGTTGGCGATTCGCCATATGGTGTGGGCGGCCGTGAGGGCACCACACCTAATGTCAGTAAAGATATTGTTGGCGATACGCCGTATAGAGTGGACGGCCGTGAGGGCACCACGCTTAACGCCGGTAATGGCGTTGTTGGCGATACGCCGTATAGTGTGGGCGGCCGTAAGGGCACCACACCTAATGTCAGTAATGACACTGTTGGCGATACGCCGTATAGTGTGGACGGCCGTGAGGGCACCACACCTAATGTCGGTCAAGACAAAAGCTCTCGTGTAGAGCGTACTATGGTTGGTAGTAACCATGGGGACAATATTGTCCCGACCCCTAAGGGGTGTAAGGTCTCGAAGAGACAATCGAGACGCCGAGTAGCAGCTGTAAAGCGCCAGGCGTCCTCACAGTCACATAGTGAGATTAGCAATACACTATATACACTTGTTAATGGAGTGACTAGTCAGGTTAATGGCAATGTGAGCCTCGAAACCCTTCCATCTGTGGACGCTCTGTGTGAGCTAGACGAAATGTCTGATGGCGAGTTTAGCCAGGCCTTGAAGGCAGGAGAGTTATCCGAGTTAGCAATCATTAGACCTGATACTGACTTAAATTCTTCCTTGTTAATGGATGAGTCTGTCCTAGAGGATACAAAGGCGGCACTTAGTGCACGAAGTGGATCTTCGATCCTTAAAGATCCTTTGGATCCGTTCTATCCTTTAGTCAAGGAATTTCAAGATGTGGTGTGTCACAACCCACCTTCTGCCTTACCTCCCGATAGAGGTGTACGTCATGAGATTGACTTGGTTCCTGGAACTAAATACTGTGTAACACGGCAGTGGCCTTTGCCTAAAGAACAGTGCGACGTCATTGACGATTTCTTTCGTGCTAAGCACGCGGCTGGAATGGTTCGTGAGAGTAAATCTCCCCATTCAACACCGACATTTTGTGTCAGAAAGCCAAATGGCAAGTGGCGTATTGTGCATGCTTATATAATAAGCTTAATGCAGCCACTATACCGGCGCAGACGTCTATTCCTAGAAAAGATGTTCTTCAGAACAATATGGCAGGATGTACATTGTACAGTGCACTCGACTTAGTCGATGGTTATTACCAACTGCTTATGCGAGCAAGTGATATTCCGCTAAAAGCGGTGAGTACTCCAAGCGGTATGCTCTGGTAGTGGCTTGTTATGCCACAAGGGCTATCTAACGCCCCGGCTACGTTTAACCGGCTGGTAACGCAACTATTCAGACCTCATCGAGGCTATGCACAAACGCACTTTGATGACATATTTGTCCATAGTCGTGCAATGAATGGGCGATCAGATGTGGATAACCACATTGATCATTTACGAGCTGTGCTCGAGTGCATGCGAACGAATAAGTTGTATGCTAACGCATCGAAGTGCATCTTTGGTGCAGAAGAGATTCCCTTTCTAGGGTGCTTCATTGGGAAGCGAGGCCTTCGAGCGGATCCCGCTAAGGTGAAAGCCATAGTCGATTGGCCAGTCCCCAAGAACCAAGAGGACTTGCGTAAGTGGCTTGGCCTTACCAATTACTTACACAAGTACAGTGCGAATTACGCAGATATGGCTCGGCCATTGTCCAATCTCCTTAAAAAGGATGTGGATTGGTTTTGGGGTAACACCGAACATAATGCTTTTATAGCAGTTAAGGAGAGTCTCCTTCATGCGCCAATTTTGGCTTTGCCCGATTCTGGTCGGCCTTTCAGTGTCGTCTGTGACGCATCTGACTTTGCCATAGGCAGTGCTCTGTTACAAACAGATGTCGACGGACGCGAACGCGTCATCGCATTTGAATCTCGACAGCTGAAAGCTGCTGAAAAGAACTATCCTGTTCATGACAAAGAGCTACTTGCTATGAAGTACGCTCTTGTCAAATTCAGAGTCCATCTGCTTGGCTCGAAGCCATTTGTGATCTATACCGATCATGCGTCATTGCGCACTGCGACACAGTCGCCTCATCTCTCACAAAGAATGGCTCGTTGGCTTTCCTTCTTTGCCGAATATAACTTCGAGGTGAAGTACAAGCCAGGTAAGCAAAACGCTTTGGCTGATGCGCTATCGCGTCGACCTGACTATGAGCTTGCTCATGTTACGACCCTATCGTCGTCAGTCCCTGACTTAATTCGTGCGGCATATGCCAAGGACGATCAGTGTGTAGCTTTGCTACGTGCTCTTGGGAGCGATGAGTTTAAAGACTCGGACATAGAATTGTCGGCACGTTTACGTGCGAGGCTACATCGATATTCCATCGATAATGGCCTGTTGTGCTATCGCACGGATATTGAGGACAACCCTCGTATCGTAGTACCTCATGATGAGGAACTAAAGTATCGGATCCTCTATGAGGCACATGATACTGCTTTAAGTGGTCATCTCGGTCGTGAGAAGACTTATAGCTCGGTGAGCCAAAGTTATTGGTGGCCCAAACTTTATAAGTGGGTGCGCACCTATGTGCGTACGTGCGAAACGTGTCAACGGGTAAAACCCTCGGCACATGCGGCGGCGCCGCTGGCTAGTTTGCCGGTACCCAGTGGTTGTTGGGAGTCCATGAGCATGGATTTTGTGTTTGGCCTACCGAAAGATTCGGAAGGCAACACTGGTATTGTGGTCTTTGTTGACCGATTGAGCAAGATGGCTCACTTAGCGGCTGTGCCGGATAGCATTGATGCTGAAGGTACAGCAAAGCTGTTTATCGACCGTGTCTTTCGCCAACATGGCTTGCCTGTGGCAATTATCTCTGGTAGAGACCCCCGCTTCACTGGGAAGTTTTGGAAGTCTATCTTCAAGGTGCTTGGCACTCAGTTGGACATGTCCACAGCGGATCATCCGCAGACCGACGGTCAAACTGAGCGTGTAAACCGCGTCATCAACGACATGTTGCGCAGTGTTTGCGCTGATACGCCTAGGCGTTGGAGCTCAATGCTCCCTCTGGTAGATTTTGCGTTGAATAACGCTGTTTATGCCTCAACAGGCTTTACTCCGTTCTATATAAACGGTCTCACTCACCCTCGCGTTCCTTTAACGCTATCACTACGTGAATCAGGGCTTGGTGGGGGAGAGGTTGCCGATCGGCTTGCTGATATCAGCCCTGCTACTGTTCAAAAACAGATAAGCGAGTTTCTCGCAACGCGATTAAATGTCTTAAGACATGTGCGTGACGCAATGGCTGATAGCCAAGATACCCAAAAACAACAAGCTGATGCCAAAGGCAGAAATTGTATTGAACGTTATGAGGTCGGAGACCAAGTACTACTCAATGCTAAAAATCTACCTACAAATGTAGTGTCTGCTGTCTTTAAGACAAAGTTGCGTCCACGCTTTATTGGACCTTTTAAGGTCACGGCCAGAAAGGGACTTGCGTATACGCTAAACCTCCCGCGCAAATTGCGCACACATCCTGTGTTTTACGTAGGCTTACTAAAGCCGTACCGGGATCCTTCCCATGTGAACTTGGAGGCGCTTGCGCCGACGACAAGGGCACTGCCCCGGATTGCTGTAGACGAATCAGCAAGTCCAACTGAGCCTCGCTCCGAGTTTGAGCTTGCTCCATCGCCTGAAGGCGGCTTTGCATCGCATCCAGCATGCACTGGGACTTACCCAAGGCCTCTTGAAGACCCTTCACTTCGAGAACCAATTTCTCGTGGGCCTCCACCGGTACACCGGCCGCCACCGACTTTGCTCGATGAGCATGGGTGTCGTCAATTCCATGTCGAGAGACTACTGAAACGACGTCGTCGTCAGGGCCAATAACAGTATCTGGTAAAGTGGAGGGGGTACCCTGAGTCTGAAAACTCATGGGAATTTGAGGTACCCCTTCGGCAAGACTGCCCATATGCTTTGGAGGCTTTTGAGCATCGTGGCCATGGTCATCTCGAGGCCGAGGCCGTTCACCACCACTATTGGTGCGGGTTGGCGGGTTGTTGGTCACAGACTGACCAGCACTCGCGGCTACCTTAGTAGCCGAAGCATAGCGCGTGCGCTTGCGCAATTGGCCTCTGGCCTTAAGCTTGCCATAATCATACCGAAGCTTGCGTTCGAGACGCACATCCGCCGCATGGGCACTAGCCCTTAGAGCAAAAATGTTGCTGAGGCGACGCACATAGTGCACCCAGTGAACAAAGGCATCGTCTTCTTCACTCGCTGTTTCGCCTGCGAGCAGGAGAATGGGTATACCCTTCATCGGTGGAACTGGTGCACCACGTGCTTGCATGTCAAGGCGTGCCTTGTATTGACTTTGAGTCGTTAGGTGCGGCTCAAGGTACCTCTCACGAAGTGCCTGGCAGCTCACCACCTCCTCAGGAGTCTTAGGCCCATGGCCAATGACCCACGTTGCCAATGTTTGGCCGGCCGCTTGACGCAGACGTTCCTCCACACTGGGTGGGGTGAACACATAATCACGCTGGCGTTCAAGGGTTGCAGTCATCTGTGCATAACGCTGAGCGTTTTCTTCTCTTTGAACAAGCAGTTGTTGTTGCTCATCGAGCGGGTTCGCGATGATAGTCTCATCAGAACCAGATGCTGCATGCTGCGCTGGCGGCGCGCTCGCACCTCCACGTTCAGCGAACGGATTTGGGGTGTTCTAAAGTTGTGCCTCAGGCATCAGTGAGCCGGACGTTGTCCCTGTGTCACCGCGGACACCGGTATCGCTACCATAGTCCACCTCTTCCTCTATTCCGAGGTAGTCACACAGAGCCTTTGACTCGTTTGGTGATGAGGACATCGTGCTGGAGCGTACGTTACCGTGAGGTTCACCGTACGCGCACTGTTCTCGCTGAGAACACGAGTGCGATTGACGTTTTGGCAAACGTCAACCTGGTGGGGGAGGGTGTAACGGGGTTGCACGAAATCATGGTACTTTGTACCAGAGGTGTTACACACCTGAGGGTTCGCTTTTGTGAAGGTGATATAGAATATCTTATCGGTTTGTAGGGGCTGACGAGTGTCAGCCATTAGATACGAAAGATCTTTGAGTAGGATTAAGATATTCTATAGGCTTTAACAAAAATAAAATCAGTTCCCATTTTGATCTGAAAGACACGTGGCTTGCGAGCCGTCTTGATCGTTGATCTCTGATCACTGAGAGTTAGCGACACCTCCTTGAGGTAGCTACTCTTGAGCACTAAGTGCTGTCGATTCACTGAATCGTTAGGTCCCCTGGAACAGGGATCTGAAGCTATAAAGCTTGTTGACTCGTAAAGTCGTTAGTTCTTTAGAACTAAGTTGCTCGTAGAGCGTTAAGTCTTCCTCTGACTTAAGGAGCTGTGTAGCTCCGCTACACGACCGAAGAATAAGGATGATGAGGCCGCAACGTCTTGTGATGTATGAATTAAAAGTATGGACGAGACTCGAATTGATGGTGGTCGCGGAACGAAATCGTGGCCATGCATGCAAATGCTGGTATAGCTGCGTGGAAAGCTGGTCTCTATTGCAAATAAAGGCAAGTTCAACTGTGGTGTTCACCTCGCTAAGCTGGTGTAACACCAGCAGCATAAGAATGAGGTCAAGACGCTTTCTGCTGACAATACGGTAAAATAACCATTCCTGAGCGTACTTAGGAATGTCTCGCGTGGTTGTGATCTAAGAATCGACCTTAGCATGGTAAACTGGTAACCAGGATGACTATCCTTCTTGTGTGCCGTGTACCAGTAGCCCCCCTATTTGTCGATACGAAGCCGATGGAAACCACCTTCAAAAGCGAACTGCAGTACATAACTACCAGCCACAGCGCCAGTGGACAATCTAGTTTTTCTACTGTACTAAACAGTGGGTCAAGCTAATTTAGAACAGGTCCGTTTGTCTCTTGGGAATACAAATGTTTCGACTGTCAGGGAGGGAATAAGTGGGTTGCAAGTCACTTGTCGGCTCGAGCGTTTCACGAGCGACTGTGCAGACTTCAACACCAAACTGTTGAACGGACTAGTGCTGTAGCGGGATTAAACGGCGGTTATTGAACCGGTTATGCTGTGTGTCCACACCAAGTAAATATCGGTGGAAGTGAGTGATGCAGTCTTGGTACCACGCACTTACGGTAATACCGCACCTTATCGGTTAGGAATAAGAGAAAAGACTTCTGTCATAGGATCGCAGTGTAGAAGTCAGTCAGATAAGGTTTTGTGGTTTTTTTACCGCAGTTAACGAATAAATAAAGCTCAGTTCCCCTTTCGAATCGTTGAAAACTAGTGCCTAGTCAAGGCGTAGTATGTTGTAAGAGTGTAAGTCTTGTGAAGGCGCTTACTCTTGTTTAACTAGTAGTGACTAGTTAGTGTGTGATTCTGTGAATCACAATCCCTTTGAGACCGGGATAGATAAGCTTGTACGCTTGTAGGACTGTACGTTTTTGTTAGTTTGCTGTAAGTAGGATACTCTTTAAGTCGAAGGCTTCTTCTGTTAAGAAGCGCTAAGTAACCCCCGCTACACTTGATAGCACTAATAGTCATTCTACACTTTAGTCTGCACAGACTTAAACCTTTGCAAAAATGTAAACAACTATGAACCTTTCTGAGGCCCAGCCGATCACGCTTAAGAAGTCCAATGAGTTGATCGGGATCGAGCAACTGGCTCTTGTATTGGCGCAAGGCCTAAGAGCTCTTGTGTACGTCTTGAGGCCTTCTCGAGCTTCTTGTCCGCGTTGATTGGACAGGTCCATGACTATTTGGCATCTACCATGCCCACTCGGTATGTTCCAATACCGTACACTGAGTCAAGGAATCGCCGTCTGGTCTTAAGTGTCAAGACTTCTGAGGGAAATTAGGGAAAAGTATCCTTGTTTGTATTCGAGAGATAAATTCTGCCATTAGCTCGGCCCTGCTGCGGTCAGAGCAGCAAAAAGTGGTCCTGGCCTTATCAAAGTTAGTTGGACGAGCCAGGGAGTGGGCATTCACTTCTGGCACTTCGATGTACGAGGCTTTTCCCATCTTGGACATGCTAAAACAGCAGCTATCTCGGGTGTATGCCCTGTCTGATTAGGAATATCACGTGTGATTATGCTTTCCATCAAACCGCCAGGATAAAAAGGACTTAGTCGATTATATTCAGGAGTTGCAAATTTATTGCTGCTATGCAGCTTGACCCTTTACTTAAGACGGTTCTGGTCGCCATTTCTACGGAGGGTATTCGCACTGGCGTTGCCAGAACAAACTTATTCGTGCACAACCCTTGACATTTGAGAATGCAGTGGAAAGAGCGTTGAACGCAGAGTTCAACTTTAAAGCTGCCCGTTACGGGACTGATGGGTTCCAACCAAACTTGTCGAGCAATGCTTATCTCATGGATAAGGCAGATCCCATGGGCCTAAGTCTTTCCTAGTAAGACGAAGGAGCTAAGCTTAACGCTGTCGAACAGCGTTCGAACAACCGTAGATGACTTACGTGCGGGAGCATCAAAAACCTTCGTCTTAATTGTCCTTTGAGAAGGACCAGACAGGCTAATTTGAGCCGACCTCCCATTGCTAACCAACGAGTTGTTATGGCACGGAAAACGTCGAGTCCCAGTCGGCATGGGCGCCCTGCTGGGGATGATAAAAGCTGTTGTACCTCCAAGAGGTGATATGAAACACCCACGCCCAAGTGAATTCGTTTAAATGTCACGAAGCACGCGTACGAGCTAGGATTGTTAGTTGCGAACGCAACAGTAAAGGGCTTCGATAAGCCATGGTCGATATTATTCGACTCTTGGGCGTCGGGAAATTACGTCCGACGTATGCACATGGAATGTAGTCAGCAAAATACTGGGGCGCTGAAAGCGCGAAAGAATGAAACTATCACTGTTCGCTTGGCGACAGGTGCATTAGTAACTGTGCCATAAGTTTCTGTGAACTGAGGCGTAACTTTTTCGGACTTTGAAAGTATCGAACGCTGTCTAGTCTTCGACTTGGACGAGAGGTCTGATTTTATCCTTTGTATGGATTGGCTAGAGAATTATGAGACATGTAATGATTGGAGGTCAAAATGTTGGGCGCAACGCGCACTGTTCCTAGTGGAGCCTTAATGAGTCATGAGCCGACCACTTCTGGAAATAGAAACGCTATTGGCGCGATACACGGGCTGAGACAGTAAGTGTGATGGACATCGGTGGGGCTGATCTTTTTGTGTTGAACGATGTCAAAGACATCAGTTACGAGCCAAGCTCGATGACTGTTAGTGAGGCTTCAAGTAATCCGTCGAGTCATAAACGTTACGATAACGAATCACTGAACGCTGAAATCGTTGTTGCTAGAGCCAAGTCATCAAGGGCGACGCCCATTTGATGAGTGTGGAGTGGCACGTAGGTTCCCACTAGGTGTTAATATCACTGGAAGTGACTCATCACCAGATTTTGGTGATGACATTGGATCTGATGTAAATTAAATATAAGTTTGACGCAGCTCGTCACCTTGGGAAAGTGTAGTCCCATATGTCAATCATGACATCGGCCCTTATATTGGGCAAATTAGGGCTGACGCAGTTCGTCACCTTGGGGGCGGTATAGTCCAAGATATCGGTAATGACATCGACTCTGGTAGTGAGCAACTTAAGGTTGATGAGCATGTGAATCTTGTGGACATTGACGTCTCGGGTCTCGGTAATGACACCGGCTCTTGTACAGAGCTAGTTAAGGATGATGATGATATCAACCTTGAAAACGAAAAATTTCTAGTCTCTTAAAGACATTTAGCCTCGTCACAGAGACGACAGCGACGATAGAGTGATTTATGCAACGCAAGGCGTCTGTTACATCACTAAGTGATACTAGCGATCAGCTATATGCACTTTTAAATGGAGTGATTGGCGACGTTGAAGGATCAGTGAGTCTTATGACTCTACCCTCACTAAATTTTCTGTAAGAGCAAGACAAAAGACCTGTCGATGAACTTGACCTGGTCTTGAAGTCGCGTGATATATATGAAGAGGTGGTCATTCGATCCGACAGTGAGCTGAACTCGTCGTCACATCTTGACGAGGCTATCTTGGAAGACACGAAAGCAGCACTGAGGGCTCGAAGTGGTTCATCGATCTTAAAATGTCCTGAAGACCCGTTCAATTCTTTGGTTAAGTACTTCCAGGATGTGGTGTGTCGCGATTCACCTTATATTCTTCCTCCTGATCGAGGCGTACTCCATGCACGGCAATAGTTCCTACTAAAGGAACAATGAGACTTCGTTGAAGAGCTCTTTCGTGCAAAGCACGCGGCTTTCATGGTGTGTGAGATCAAGTCTCCGCACTTGACACCGACGTTTTGTGTCTGACAGCCAAATGGCAAGTGGCGCATTGTGCACGATCACAAGAAGCTTTGCGCAGCCACTATACCGGCAAATACGCCTATTCCTGGAAAGGGTGTTATTTGGAACGCTACGGTAGGTTGTACCACGTTCAGTGCACTTGACTTGGTCGATGGGTAATTGTAATTGCTCGTGCGAGCGAGCGGTATTCTACCCATAGCGGTTAGTACTCCAAGTGGTATGCTTTGGGAGTGGCTTGTCATGCCTCAAGGGCTGTCTAATGCCCCAAAACATCCAATTGTCTTGTGACGCAATATTTAAGACCTCACCGAGGATATGCACAAAGCAATTTAGGTGAAGTCTTTGTCCATAGCCGTGCAGGACAAGGTAGGTCATACGTGGACAATCACATTGACCATTTACGAGCAGTGCTATAGTGCATGCGCACGAACAGGACGTAGAAAAATGCATCAAAATATGTTTTTGGTGCAATAGAAATTCCCTTTCTCGGGTGCTTCAGTGGG